CAGGACCATGACAGGTCCTGAGTGATGTGGACACCCAGGTATCGGAAACTGTCGGAAAGATGGTTTTGAGACGTGATTTAAAAGTGGTGAGAGGGGCAGGACAACTAAAGCAACTTAATCATGTGGAAATCCTTTCCATTGTTTTTTATCTTCATTCAAAGAGTTATTTTTTTAGTGAAGTGTTATTGACAAACAGGTGAAAAGAAAAAGAGAGAAAGTGTAACTGAGTCAAAGGCATGATGTTGGACTCATACAGAGTCATGATATTCATATGAGAGGTGAGCGCATTATTCCATCTGTCTACCAAAGGATTTCACATTGGTTATTACAAAAAGGTGACATATGTTCTATTTGTATTTGGTATAAGGTACTAATCAATGTAAAAAAAATTAATAGATAATAACATTATCATTAAAAATATTAAAATGAAAAAAATGGGTTGGACATATCTCATTAATCTCACACGAAATAGAAAAATATATTTATCTAAGCAGAATATTGATCCATGTCTGCACAGTGTTATATGTTTAGAGTTGGCGTGGCTTACAGCATTAAAGTGGGGACCACAGCGATTTCTAGCAGTAAAATATAAAATTAAAAATGCAAACATTGTATCAGGATCTGAAAAGTGAAGTCAATGCAAAAGTGCCATAAACATTGTTATTAATGATCACCAGGGAACAAGTGCAAGCATTATTAGTCAAATCAACAGCTGCCTCATCATATCTGCTTTCAACTTTAGGCATTATTTACTGACCCTTACCTTCCTTAATGCATTGTTGATGGATAGTACAGGCCGCTGACATAAAATTGGGGTAGTTATAGATATTATGCATTTCTGAAAGAGATATGTAGCCAATATTACACTTTTTCACTTAGCAAAAATAACTGCAAATGTGTCAGACTCCTGACTATAAATGCACTACTTGCTAATACATGAAAATGAATATTAATATAGTAAACCAAATTAAGGCAGTTGAACCCATTTATCTTGATAAAGTAACCGACAGCAAATTTATAACAAGACACAAGAAGTAAATGTAGGCTATTTTTATTGTATACGTATTCTGTGTAATCTACAACCTGCACAACGATATTTAACCCTCCTCTTGTGTTAGCTTTCTGTTATCATCTCTTATGTTAACGGGTCGGTTTTGACCCGTGAATTAAATCAGTTATAAAATACACTAAAAACAATAAGTGATCATCCAATTTGTTTCTCATCTCTTGGTTATCTTGTTAGGCTTCCTTATCCATGAAAGTGTTGGTTTTAATACTTTTGGTGTGGGCCTGTGGGTCTTTTTTT